TGTGAGTCTGGGGCGAAGTATGGCTGTGTAGATCCATTGCATCATACTCGGTTTCAAACTCCAAGTCTGGCCAAAGGTCCTTCTACACATCCAAAAATACTGGCACAAGCTTTTACTCCGATTACGAAGGTGTTCCTCTCAAAGCAGCTTCCTATCCAGGATAACTCTCAAATATTTCATTGATTCGGTCGGAACTAGCCTTACTCCTCCAAGAGTGGGTCCCAAAATGGTGCCCACCTTGTATTTGCGAGTGAAGACAGTAAAACCGGTTTTCAGTGGATTCACCGCTAAACCTGTCCTCTGACACCACTCTTCTACAACTTCCAGTGCCCCTTTTTATTTTGATTAAGTTTGAAAAATTTTTTTATTTAATTAGATACAGATATAAAAAAAATAACTAGATACAAATGCAATTATTTTAAAAAATATACTTAAGAAGAATTAACTAGATATAAACATAAATATCATTTTTAAATAAATAACTAGATATACATGCAACTTTTTTTGAAAGATTTTTTATTTAAACTTGGCATCATTTTCTGATATCACCTCTTTTATAGGCAGAATATGTAGCGAATTTTTATTTGGTATATACAACTTTTTTTAAAAGTACAATTTTTTGGTAAGGTTTTTTATAATAAATATATATAATTTTTTAAAAAGATTTTTTTATAATATATTTTTGGAAATACAATCTTTTTGGAAAGTTTTTTATAATATATACAACTTTTTTTGGAAAGGTTTTTTGTGAGAAAAACTTTTTTTGAAAAAACAATTTTTTGGAAAGGTTTTTTAATGAGGAAAACTTTTTTTTAATATAACAAGGCGTGTACTTGGCGCCCTTTTTTTACCTTTTTTTAAATATTATATACATTATTTATTTCTTTACCATTATTAGTTTATATTTTTTGGTTATTTATAATTAATCTTTTAATATAAATTTAATAATATATTATATATTATAATCATCCTGACATAAATTGGCATGCTTCATATTTTGATATTCAAATATAATATTGTTGCATCCGTATCAGTGTTGTGTTCGTCAATTGATGATATCCGATCGATATTATTGATCGGCATTCTGACAGAAGAAAGGCTGTTGTATAAATAAGAGCGGATATATTTATGTTTTTATGATGATACGTAGTTGTTAATAAACATCGACTGTCAGATTATACTCCGGGAAACTGTAAAGCCACTCGGATGTATCTTGTGTCTCTCTATTAAGAAACGTTTGTGTGTTCTGTGTTGAAGTGTTTATTAAAGTTTTCCTATTTTATAAATCAGTGTCTAATTTATTATTTCGCGCTTCGCGAGTTTCGTGTGTGCCGCGAGTGTTGGTGTTAGTCGGAGACGTTTTTCCTTGCGCGAGCGTAACAATATGTAATCCATCTACTTTTATTGTTAATTAAAGGTGATTTAACGGATTTAATTTAATTTTCTTAAATAAATAAATATAGCAATTTGAAACAGCAAGACTGAACAAACCTGACTAACGAGCATTCTGCATAATAAAAATCGATTTATCAATTATGATTTTCAAATAAACGCCTTTTCCAACAAAAGCGGTTGTTTGCAACCATTTCAATTTAATGATAGAACATTCTGGTAACAATCACACAATACGTGAAACCTGCACTGGAATTAACTGTGACTATTTTTTTTGCGCGCTATACATTTTAGTTGCATTATTGATTATGTTATAATTTTTATAAATGCTATCTTTAAATTTCAATATTGTTATGTTTCTGTATATATGCCTCAATTTTTTGTAATTTTTTTGATAAAAACAAATTTAAAGATTTATTGTATTTTATCAGAGTCTATTAATATTATATTGTTATGTATATTCTACTTTCTACAAAAAAATATGATATCAGAAAATGGCACCAAGTGGGACTAAAGAACTATGAAAAAAGTTGTACACTATTTCTATAAAACTCTTCTATAAAACTCTTGTACATAAAGCTGTCGTATATATAATTAACTATATTATATACTATATATATTATAAAAAAATAAATACATAAATAAGAAAACAAAAAATTAAAATTAAAAAATTTTTTAAAAATATTTAATTAAAAAATGAAAAAATATAAAAAATTTAATTAAAATAAAAAGATATTTATTAAAAAACGCAAAAAAACTTGGCGCTACTACACCACAAAGTATTATAAAGCAATGAAATTAACATATAGTTTACTGTAGCAGC